TGGCACCGGCAGTGGCTGGTAAAAAAATTGAAATGTACAATGTTTTTTTGCTAGTTGTGTCACCGTGTCAAGGCTAGCAAATATGGACAAATGCGTCTTCTAGTTTTTAGGCAACGAATATGGTCATTGAATTAGTTACCTGTAATTGTTGCTGCACTTTTTTTATTGACCTCTCCCTCCCCATATTACGTAATAGTCTACTGCCTTATGAGTTTTGAAAATGAATCAATTGAGCTTTCAAACGCTCTGACACATGTCTCAAAGTTTTCAGTCCCAGCTTAAGAAATGCCAATATACAGCAGGTTGACACATTTCAAAATTCTTTTCATCTCATAGAGAAGAAAGGCCAGTCAATGTCTACTGACTTGCTACTATGCGAGGATCTTTCACACAAAACGACAGATTTGGCTGACGTTTTTTCATTTAATAATTTTCAACTGTTCAGTATGTCTAATTTTTTCCCACAACTTTACACTATCTATGGCTAGAGAAGGTATTGGATTGAAGACGTTTTTAATTGGACTAAAATTTGTCGATCTGGTTTGGTCTATTTAAGTCTGGTCTGATTTGGTAAATGTTCGTATTTTAAGTTTGGTCTGTGACCGAAAACAGTCCAAACTCCAAAGTAAAAATATCTTGAATAGCCACATCTTCATCTATTATTAAATTTTCGCTCAACCCCAGGATCCATTAAGTTGCACAAATTGTAATGAATCAAATTAGCTGTTAAATAAATTACGACGTATATATAAAGGGTAGCTAACGAATCATTTCTTCTGGCGCCAATGTATTTAAAACTCCATATATAAAGGCTAGCTAATGAATCAACATGTCATTTTTAATTAATAACTAATCGAGGAAGGACAAAAATCAATTCACAACTTGCAGTATATAAATGGTACGTATTAGCGACAGGATCTAGCGATGTCTAGGGTTAGATTGGCGGGCGGCGCGGTGATTCCTTCACAGCGATTCTGTCCCGGAGGTTACTTCCGGAGGTTACTTCTGTGGGTAAATCTTGCGTGGAAGCACAGGATGGCGAGGTACTAGGGGCCTGGTGGTTCGGAGAAGACCGTCTTGTGACATCTCCTAGAGTTTCGCTGCAGTGTTCCGCATCAGACCATGCGGAAATTCGTTTTTTTTGTATTGCAGTTTCCACACCAGAGGTATTGCAATTATGTCGCAGATTTCTGATCGTGGGTATTGCAATTTCGTTTTGTGGTCAGTGTAGTGTGCGATCAAGATGCTTCTTTGCGCAATTGCATTTAATTAGGATGGACTGTTGAGCAAAAAAACAACGGATGTGGAGGCTGCTCGCTTTGGGATTGGTTGTGTTCGTGCAGTATTTTGGCCAAGAGATGGAGGCGTCTGACGAGTAGATCAAACTATCAAAGTAATGAAGGAAGAAGATGAAGTGATGAAAATCTGTCCCCCTTCTGAACCTCCGCTATGGAGGAACTGTGCGACTAGGATTTGAATGTCTTGTTTTACTTTTTCTAGTTTCTTATTTTCAGCTCAGATTGTTTTATTATTTCTATTTTGTTCTTCCTATTTCAAACAATAAAGGGGGTAGATGGGTGTTTTGGTTTGTTCTAGTTGATAGATTACTGTTTGGAGGCAATCAGGCAGATTCAGTCGATAATAGCCTCTATGCTCTCACAGTTTCAGCGATTAGTCTCGCTCTTCCTAGAGTGGACAATTCTATGTCTGATGATGATGTGAGGGGCCCGATGAGCTTTGGTTTTGAATGGTTAGAGGGGGATTTAGAGTTTGGGTTTTTGTTATTATTTTGGATCGTTTCATTTAATATTAGCTTAGTTTCCTTCCCAAAAAACTAATCGAGGAAGTGTCAAGATCCTGAACATTTCTTTTTAATGTTATCCACTCCATATTAAATTGGATGAACTCAGCTGCTATTTTTATATATTTCTCTTCAAATCTGGCGTAGCATATCAACTTTTTGAATCTTGAATTGATGGATTTTGATGAATTCTTGTCTTTAAGTAGCCAATTGACAATTTCTGTTTCTTTCTTTAACCTACAATGCACGTCACTGGATTGTTAGTTTTTCATCCAGGGGTCCTAGTTTACAAAAAAGTTTTTATATAATCGGTTTTAATCACGGTCAATGTTTGATGGTCCAAATATTTAATGGTCATATGCATTGTTGTGTAGTAATATCTTATCGGTTTTATCGTAATTGTCTGAATTCGAATCCGAAATATAACCGCAAGACACTCTATTTTATAGCGTGTCTATATACTAGTATGATACGGAGTACTACATAGATAATAGCGTGACTCTGGGATAAAAAAGGAGTCTAGAGTCAACTAATTTTCTATTACTAAATTGCGAAATACCTTCCTGCTAGTAATTTAGTGTTACAGTAATTATATTTGAAACGGAAGAAGAATTTCTAAATAAATACTCTCTCCGTCCCAATAAATTCTTCCTAGTTTAATTTGGCACGCAAATTAAGAAAGTGAGAATAAAATGAAAATGTATGGTTGTAGACCTGTAGTTGTGTAAGAAAAAGGTAAATGAATGTGAACTACACAATTTTTTCCCAAAAAGGTAATATTGAAGAATTTTATTGAACGATCCAAAAAGGAAAGTTGAAAGAATTTAACGAGAGAGGGAGCAGAGTTGACTAATGGAATAATAAAAAATTCATTGGCACCATTACAATGGAAGCAATGTTGTGCTTTGAAATTAAGCACAATGGGTTCATCAAAGATATGATTAGAAGTAATCCACTATGAATAATCTCTAAACTGTTCAAATCCATTGAAGGTTAGTGGAATATTTTATTGCCTTATCTCCTCGTCTTTTTTGGTACCCATGCCACATTACCCACACACTTTGGCTATCCAATTATTATATTATGATTTTCTTTTTAAATTTTAACCCATGATTTATTGCTCAATTGGTAAGTACTCAAGATCAGATCATAATAACAATTGAGATCATTACTAATGCATTTTGTGTCTAAACCAGTGACAAATAGATGCATAGTGGATTTCTTATAGAAGTACGAGTGACAAATATATATCTTGAGATGAACGAAAATAGATGTACAATAGTTAGGGGTGTAATCAGAAAGAAATTCAAGTGAGTTAGTACAAAGATTTTTTGTCATACTCATTGAAATAGTGAAATTAAAGTATATGATCAACATTTGTATGAAAGAAAGAGAAATAGTAGCTATCCCAAGTTAATTACTTTAAAAGTTAAGTAAAAGGATAACAATATTTGGAATAATACCAACTAAAGTTGATAATATCAAATGAAACATAATTAGTAGTTTTCACATAATTGTTTTAACTTATAAAACACGTAGTACATATTACTAGCCGTTCTATTTTATGTGTCTCATTTGACTTTGTCACAATTATTAATAAAGTGGTTGAAAAGGTAAAAGTTGTAGATGAAATTTGAGTATAATATAGTGAAACGCTGTGGATCACATATTTCTTTTCAAAAAGGAAAATGTGACAATTATTTTGGGATAACCCAAAAAGGAAAGTAAGACAAGTAAAATGGAACAGAGTGAGTATAATTTTATGAAAATTTAAGGTGAGTTGAGATAATATGCTTAACTACCGACAATGAGACGTATATAAGAGATACGAGGATTCTAATGAGAACTCATCTTAAAATGAGAGATAAGTAATTTGAAACAAGCATTTTGATGCGAAGGCTAATATAATACAACTATGTTTGGTGTACACATAGTCTCTACACATATTGTGTACATCCTGTCTAGTTGTCTGTCTTCCAGACAACTTCTTAATGAATTGCCTTGGTGGTAAGATAACTAAGGAGGAGTACACAATATGTATACAAGGTGTACCAATAACATTTTTGAATGCAATATCTCTCCATCTCAAGAGTTAAAGAAAACAGTAAATAAAGCTTGATTTAAATATTTTACCTCTCTTATAAAATATGCTCCATCCGTCCTTTAAAACTTTGTCAACTTTTTTTTTTGAAAGTCTCACCAATTTTGCCAATTTCCTTTTTAATTAAAGAATTTGTGCTTCCAGTTAATTCTCTCTTCTCTGCACAAAACTCAACCAAACAGTTTTTATTTTATTAATCCCTGTGCCGGTCAAACTTCGGAAAATTTTAAAGGATCGAAGGAGTATACATTTAAGTAAAATGAGGAAAGAGCAAAACAAACAGTAAATTTGGTACTTTGCTTATGTTTCTGTATCTAAAATAAAAAGTGAAAAATTATTGAAATAATTACATAAATATGACCAAAATAAAGACGATTTACAAAAATATGATTAATGATTAGAGTAGTAATGAAATTATAGTAATTCATGTTTAAATTTTGAGCTTAAGTTACCACAACACCACATTATATTAGTGAATAGTCATATTTATGTAAATATGTTTATTTTAGTAATATTCTTGTAAAAAAATCTATTTGATACATTCAAAATAAGAAATTTTGTAAATTACTTTGTAAATCGTAGTTGACTTATTATGACAATTGACAACCCGGATAAGTAATTTTTGAAATGAACTTTTAAACGGTGAGCTGTAAAAGAGGCAGCCCCTTTGAGAACAGTAATATGGTGCTGGCTCCTTTTAAATACGGAGTATAGAAAAAAGATGTGGGCTTTCGGGTAGTAGATTCATCCCCCCGCCCCACATTTTAAATTTCACATGGTACGGCAGGACAAGACATGTTTAACCAGCTTAGTTGTCACTTTGTCAAAAAGAGTAAAAATTCAACTACCATATTTCAAGATTTGGATGGCGATTTATTCTTGCCAAAAAGAACCCAAAGCTCCATCGTTACCCTCATCAAGTTTCAAAATTTAAACAGAAAAGAGGAAACTTTCTCAAAAGAACAGTATAGATTTTGCCAAACCCAAAAAAGTTACTGCTCCACAGACCACACAGTACACTCTTCCCAAATTCCAATCCAACCCCCAAGAAAGAAACAATTGTTGATTTGATTGCACCATATTCTGCATTCTCTAACCCGAAGACAAAAAGGGGGAAAATTCCCTTTCTCTCCACAGTGCAGAGAGGAAAAAAGAAAAGCAGAAGGAGAAGACATCTATGGATAGGCTCTCACCAAATTACAAAGGGTGTACAGATTAGAGAACCCCGAAAAAAGAAGCCCACATTGCCGTTACAGCAAGACTTTGTTTAATTGTTCATCACCATGGGAAAGACGGAGGGTGAAGAACCCTTACCCATGGCTGGACAGGGTGAGCTGGCAACTAACCGAAGTAGGGAGAATAGGAGCTGCAGGAGAATCTGTGGGATGGTGAGTTTCAGATGTGTTTTTGCTCTGGTTCTTGGTGCAGGTGTGCTACTCTCTGCTCTTTTCCTGCTCCCATTCTTCCCCCACCGAGATCCAAAGGGTCTAGATCTGGATTCTAGGTTTCGAGGTACTTTTCTTGATGCTTGTTTGGTTTGTTTATTACTGCAGTTTTTTGGAGTTCATGCAGATCTCAATTGAAGCTTGGTTACTGTTCTTGATTTTGTTTATGGGGTTTTCCACTAGTTTCAAAAAATGAAACTCTCACTTGGCTTGCTCTATGCGGACTGGATTTTAAAACTTATGCATGGGTTTAATTATTTTTTATTTTGCTGTTTTGTTAAGCTGTAAAGTTTTCAGAGTAACAGTTTCCATTTCAATTTATTGCCCAGACAGGGAACACATACAGATACATATAAAGAAAGTAAGACTATTTCAAAGTTAGTTGCTTGTTATTAAAAGCTTGTTAGGGAAATGGTCCAAAAATAAGATGCCTGACCTCGAACTGGAAAAAGCAATACATCTCCTAATTGGCACAGTTTTCTTTCAGTGATGAAATGTGTATTTGCCACTCAGTGACCTAGGGTTTGGAATAGTTATAATTAAGTTGGGTGGGATGGGATGGGATGGGGATGATTTTTATTAATGTGTCTATACCTTTGTATGATTAACATTCTAATTTAAAGTCCCCATTGTAAGAAAACCCTTATATGGCTTGATTATGTCAGCATCTTTCTATATTATCCCCCTTCTTGAATAAGTTTTGTGTGTGTATTATATATGAATCATTTTCAGGGCATGAGATTGTAGCAAGCTTTATGTTGGAAAGACCTGTTTCACTATTGGAAGATTATAAAATGCAACTTGAAGATGAAATTTTGGATGAAATAAGCGTTTCCAACACCAAAGTATTAATTTCCCCTCAACCCTTCTAGCTCTTAATCATCTCTTTCTACTTTCCAATAATAATTATCTATCGTCATCTTTTGAATTACCAGGTGGACATACTATCTTTAGAAACTTCAGCCTTAATACTAAACGTAACAAAGGTTGTCTTTGCTGTTGATTCTGACGTCAAAAGTAAGATGAGTATCCCCCCAACAGCTAAAAACATAATTCACGGCAATTTTGAATCAATACTTGTTCATCAGTCAACTATGCACTTGACTACTGATTCTCTTTTTGGGACCCCATTATCATTTGAGGTTCTAAAATTCAAAGGCGGGATCACAGTCAGCCCCTCTCAACAGAAAGCTTTCCTCTTGCAGAAAGTTCTCATCAGTTTCAACTTCACCTTGAACTTTTCTATTGAAGAAATACAGATATATTTTGATGAACTAACACAGCAACTGAAGTCAGGGTTACACCTTTCTCCGTATGAGGTTTGTTTATATGAATGAGTTTCTTTTTTGGTTGTTGATTCTCTAGGTTAGGCATTATACATCTTTCTCATCTGATGCAATCAGTTGCAGATCAATGCATACATGAAATTTTATTGATTCAGGACTCATAAGATTGGTTAACCTAACCATTCATGAATCAGGATTTTTCCAAGGTATCACTGTAAGAAACAGAAGTATGACTACATGGTCACTAACTCACTATAGTCCATGGGAAAATACCACAATAGTCATTGTAGTGTAAAATTGAACATCACCATAGTCACTACATTCACAGTAAAAGTACCAATACGGTTATAGAGTTTTAAGATTTATATTTTTGTCTATTGTTTGTAATACTACGTATATAGTTATCATTTTTCATTAATCTGTTGGACCTAGAATATGAAAATAGTCATTTAGGATAATTAGGATATGAATGGTTGAAACTGGCAATCTAAGATTTAAAAAATCACGAACTTTCATTATTTACTGTTTTTCATTTTTATGTTAACTTTCAATAAGTATTAGCTATTAATTATTCTTTATGTTTTATATATAGGGTTTAATAAACAATTTAACAAAACTAACTACAGGAAAAAATCAAAGTTCACTATTTTCAAGCCTTGGATTGATAGTTTCAATAATTAAGGGTCTAAATCAACAGCTTTCAACTTTCCGGTCCTGGATGACTAATAAACTATCTTTGTGTCCTGCATCAATAAAACAAAATTTCATAATAAATACATTTAACTCAGGAGTAGCGTATACCTAGAGTTGGTGGTGATGTATGATGTTATCTGATTCCATATTTCTTTTTGTGCAGAACTTATATATCAGCTTGGTAAACCCAAGAGGTTCAACGGTGGACCCACCCACAATTGTAAGGTCACTAGTTGTTTTGGTGGTTGGGGTACCCTCAAAGTCCAGGGAGAAGCAGTTGGCTCAAGCAATTACTAGTCCTCACACTAAGAACCTTGGCCTGGATAACACTGTGTTTGGTAAAGTTAAACAAGTCAGCCTCTCCGCTACTACTACTGTCTATGGTGGTAGCCCCTCACCTTCTCCAACCCCTGTGCCTCATAACCCCCATCACCCCCACCACCACCATCACCACCATCACCATCACCACCACCACCACCACCACCATCGAGAGTCCAATCTTGCTCCTGCAATTGCATCTTCTCCAATGCAGACAAAAAGTGCGCCTGTGAATTGGGAACTCTCACCAACACCAATGCCGGCTCTTGAGCCAGCCCATGGGCCTGCTCCACGTAGGATTGGCCCTACAAAACATATGCAAGCTGCTGCACCTCCCACCTATGTAGAACCAAACAGAATAATTCCGCCAGCACCTAGTCCACATGATGTTCCTTCCCTTTCATCTTCATCATCACCGCATGGTAGTTTTTCTGTTGCAAAACCTCCTGACATGAGACTATATTCAATCTCACATCTCTCTTCATCAGGTAAATCTTCGCTCCCCAGCACACTGATTTTAGAGAAAATAATGGAAAAATTACAGTGATTAGACGCATTAGGGCGTTATGCGTGTGTGTTTTTCACAACTGCTTGTGTTTGCAAAAAGTGGTCCATTGGGCTAAAAGCCTAAAATCCTTCACTTTTGCTGATGTGTTACTGTGTGGCCCTACTTTTTCTGATGTGTAACAGCTGGACCTGCCTTTTCTAATCTTCTATACCTCAGCGTATATACAAGGAGGTTTAAATAGTTTAGAAATACAAAGTATTCAAGATATCTAATTCTAATAAAATGAGACAATGACAAACATATGATTACAATAAAAAATTTGGACAAACATATGACTTTTACAGCATAATGACTTTGTCATATTCCCACATTTACCATGAAGGTTCTAGAAATTTGTGTTGGGCTAGGCTAAAAAGTGATAATACTAGGCTTAAGACAACATTGGGGTGGAAAAAGTAGAAACAACAACAACATTACTCCTTTGCCGCAAAGGCTTCCACCTATGGTGGGGTGAGGGGGGTCAGATGTACGCAGCCTTACCCTTGTACTAAAGCATAGAGAGACTATTTCCGGATGATCCATGCTGAAAACCGCGAGGATTTTTTTATTAACTGATTTATGATTTTTTTGGGTGCAATAGTCCAATATAGCTCTAATGTAGATCCACCTCTAGATATTGACCATACCCGCCTTCACTGTGATCAGATGTACTGTGCAGGAACTATGATTGTATTTGTGCACTCACTACAATGACAATGTATTATGTTTTCCTCGTATCAATCTTATTTTAGTGATTTCATAGGGAAGATCCCCAACAAAAAATGATCGAGTAAAAATGAATTATTGAAATTTTTAAAAAAGAGTTTTTGCCACTTTTTATCCTGTCTGTTGTGTCAATTAAGCTTTTGATAATCACTTTTGAATTTTTCTACTTTAAGTTCTTCAATTATCATGAAAGTGACATTTTGTCCTTCAAAACATTTCTCATAGTAACACTTTTGAAGCCTGAGCTATTGTGGCAAAATCATAGTAGGGGGTTAAAAGTTGATAATTTTAAAGATGATACTCATGTCTCTCACAATAATTAAAAGATTTAAAGTGAAAAACATAAAAGTGGAGTGCTAAAAGTATGATCAACACAATAGTTGGAGTCTTAAAGTGGCAAAAGCTCTTAAAAATAGAACAATATATCATTGATGAGAGTACACAATTTAAAAAATGTAACCCTCCAGAAGAAAATTTTGACCTCCCAATTCCCATCCAACATCTTGTTTCCATAAATTATGAAACTTAATTCTTGTTATCCTTGTGGTTAAGAAGAAACAATTAATCTTGTGATTTTTTTAATGCAGCAGCTTCCACAGGTATCCTGAAATCAACATTATGGGCTCTCCTTTCCTTTCTTATATGCATAGCAACATAACAAAGATGCTAAGTTTCAGAAGAACCTCACCGCCCCCTGTAATTGTAAAAAAGAGGAGTTTCCACTTATTATTTCCTCCACACAAAACAAAAAAAACAAAAAACAAACAAATCGAAGAAGAGAATTAGAGCTATGCATCAGAGGAGGATCAAGGCCAGAAGGACCGGAGGGCGTGTGAATATGTCTTTTGTTTCTGTGTGTAAATAAATACTAGTAGTTGTTATAAATCCAGCCGTCAACAGATGCATTTTCTGGTCAAAGTCGTAGAGGCGACAGGCTTGAGACAAACAATGCATTGTAGCTGCTATGTATGATCTCATCCCGCTGTAAGGCAGTGGGGAGAGGAAATTTGAAACATTCAAATGTACAAACCTAACATTTTTGTTTGCTAATGTCTTTCATAAGCCGCCGTGAATCTTCGGCACTAAAAATTAGCATGGATTTTGATCCTTGATTCCGCAAGCTATGCTTAAACTATGTGTTTGTTATTTGTACTCAACTGTAGATTCATGGAGGGCAGTGTTTGTTTATATAGTTTACATGCTCTATTGATGTGAGATTTGTTTGGCGTTGTTTATAGATAGGGGTGGATTCGGTTCGGGCCACCCGGCCCGTGACCTGGCCCGGCCCGCTACTGTGCGGGCCCGGCACCGGCCCGGTCTGGCGGTCCGGGACCGAGTGTAGACCCGAACCGATGGGGATGGGCGGGGCGGGCACGGTTCCGGAAAAATGTGACCCGGCCGGGTCGGGCTCGGGCCCGGGTCCGGGTCCAACGGTCCATTTTTAATTTTTTTTTGCCCAAACTAGCCGTTATGGCCTTGGGGGGTGGGCTGGGGACAACCCAAACGGCTATATGGCCGTTGGGTGGGGTGCAGGGGGGTCCGGGGGGTTTGGGTGGTGGGGGGTAAAAAAACCTATAAATACTCCTAATCTTAAACATTTTTTCATCTCTTCTCCAATTCTTCCTAAATCCTATTCTTAACTCTCTACTTTCTAATTCTCTTATTCTCCAATATATTATATTGATTATTTATATATCTACTTTATATTAATTATCTACTTATAATTTATAAATACATACATTATAATATTATATTACTTATATTTGTTATCTAATTATATATTACTTATACATTTATTATATCTATTAATATAGTTGGAATTATATCTAATTAATTTGAAGTCATTCTATTACTCCCATCCGAAAGTCTGAAAGATGTACGAAATTATTTTATTATTTACACTTGTTTAATTTTGTATTAACGTTACTTGAAAAAAAACTAGTTAATTCTCATAATAGTTAAAGTTAAACTATAATAATTTGATTGTTAGTAAAAAAAATAGGTTGTACAATTTGCTATAACTCGAATTAATAGTTAGATTAATAGTTAATTACTTTATTACAATTTTTTATTAATTGCTACATTTGACTCTAGTTTAAAAAACTAGTTGTAATTCTAATTATAGTTAAAGTTAAAGTGTATTAATTTCATTGTTAGTAAAAAAAATAGGTTGTACACAAAACTAGTTAATTTGATTAAAGTAAACTTTAAAATACTAATTTGCTATAACTCGAATTAATAGTTAGATTAATAGTTAATTACTTTTTTACAATTTTTTATTAATTGCTACATTTGACTCTAGTTTAAAAAACTAGTTGTAATTCTAATTATAGTTAAAGTTAAAGTGTATTAATTTCATTGTTAGTAAAAAAAATAGGTTGTACACAAAACTAGTTAATTCACTAGTTAATTTGATTAAAGTAAACTTTAAAATACTAATTTGCTATAACTCGAATTAATAGTTAGATTAATAGTTAATTACTTTATTACAATTTTTTATTAAATGCTACATTTGACTCTAGTTTAAAAAATTAGTTGTAATTCTAATTATAGTTAAAGTTAAAGTGTATTAATTTCATCGTTAGTAAAAATAAATAGGTTGTACACAAAACTAGTTAGATTAATAGTTAATTACTTTTTTACAATTTTTTATTAATCGCTACATTTTTTAGATGGACCGTCCTAGATATTCGGTTGATATGGGTAACCTCGAGCGCAACCGAACGAAAGAGCTTGCGAGGAAGAGATCCCGCAAAGGTAAATCACATATCGGCTCTTCATCTCAAAGTCGAGATGATTTTGATACGGGTTACGCAAGGAGGGATGAGGATGCGATGACCGACGAACAACTAGAACAAGAATTGCACCGACATAATTCCCGCTTTTTTCAAGACCAACCGAGGACCATTGACGAAGAAGAGCTCGAGGACGAGGACGACGATGTGGAGGAAGTAATTCCGGAGAGCCACGACGAGGAGGAGGAGGGTGGCGGCAACCATGACGCCGACCAGCCTGCCTCATCCCAAACAGGTACAAAAAAAGTAAATCTGAACTAATGCTAATAATTTTTCTAAGTGGAAGGACCCGAACACCGGGAATTGGACCGCAACTTGCAATTGGTGCAAGAAAAACTATAGCTTGGGGATTTCCGGCGGATACGGATCCGCCACAAGACACCTTAAGTCCAAACACCCGGTGGAGTATGCAAAATTAGGCGGCGGAACGGGGAAGCAAACTCAAATATCGAGGTTTGCAAATAACCAACAAGCTTTTGGTAATTCTCATACAATGATACACAAAATTTAACTGGTATGGCTAACTTACTTGTTGAAGAAAATTTGCCTTATTTGTTTTCTGAAAGTCTTGCTTTTCGTGATTATGCACAAACTTGTTTAAATCCGCAATATAGAGGTTATAGTCGCAAAACGGTTAAGAAAGAAATTTCAAGGCTTTATGGTGCGGAAAAGGTAAGGTTACAAAATTATTTTGCAAACTTTGATGGACGTGTTACTGTATGTTCTGACATATGGGAGGATACTTATCATAATTTACATTATTTGGGTCTGACTGTACATTATATTGATAATGATTGACATATGCATAAACATGTTCTTGCTTTCCGTGAATTTAATGATCGTCACACCGCTGAACATATTTATATTTTGATTGAGCGTATTTTAATTGAGTATAATTTAATTGATAAGGTGTTTGCTATTGGTTTTGATAATGCTACTAATAATACTGCTGCTATTCCTAGATTGCGTGAATTGTGTGGTTCTACTTCTTTGATGGGTAGATTTTTTCATCAACGATGTGCATGTCATGTTCTAAATTTATGTGTGCAAGATGGTCTAAAAGCGTTGGGAGCATCGTTGGAGGTAATCAAGTGGGGGATTAGACATATTTGGGGTAATGGACAACTTAGGAAAAAATGGCATGATTATTTGATAGAAAGAGGTGAGAGATATGTGGCTTTTCCTAAAGATTTGTCTATTCGTTAGAATAGTACCTATAAGTTAATTGGAGTTCTTCTTAGATATAAACAACATTTTTCTGCCTTTATGAAACAATATGATAACTATATTATAAACTCGACTGAGATCGACACCTGTGAAAAAATTTGTAATGCTTTGATATATTTTAATAATGCAACTGAAACTTTTAGTCATGTTTATAAACATACCTCAAACAAATTTATTCGTGAAGCTGTTAATCTCGCCGGTGCTATTTCAAATTTTGAGAATGCTGATTATGTGAGTTATTTTGCTAGTTTTATGAAGGAAAAGTTTTTAAAATATTATTCACATATTCCGCATATTTATGGTATTGCATTTGTTCTCGATCCTCGTTTTAGACTTGGTTCTTTAGAAGAATGTTTGAATTATTATTATGCTGCTTCTTTTTGGTCCATTACCAATGTATGAGGACAACCCAATTGATCTGAAAAAAGAATGCAACGAGGTTAGTGATATATTTTATGCATTATTCAATGAGTTTCATGCACAATATGGCAATGCGCCCCTCCCCCGACACAAACATCATCTAAAGGAAAATCAATTTTCAAATCTACATTTGCCAATCTTATTAAAAAAACGAAATCAACTCCCGCTACACAACAAAGCACGATTAATGAGATTTCTTTGTATTTAACATATGATGTTGATTTTGAAGAAGATGATGATTTTGACGTACTAAACTGGTGGAAGGGAAAAGAAAGAATGTTCCCGGTTTTAGCAAAGATGGCTAAGCAAGTGCTATCAATGCCGGTTTCAACAGTTGCCGTGGAACAAGAATTTAGTTCGGCCGGCAATGTCCTAACGCAAACCAGAACGATGTTGAGCGCAGAATCTCTTGAGATGCTTATATACTACCACGATTGGTTGAAAGCAGCCCGTAGAGCTCGGCCCGGGCCCGACCCGGCCCGAGTCCATGACTATTTATAGATAAATATTGCTCTTGATTATAAAAATAGGATCATACGTTGGTGACGTCGTGATGACAACAAACTCTGGCAGTGACAACTAGGGTGGACTCGGGCCGGGTGGCGCGACCCGGAACCGGCCCGGGACTGGCACTGTTCCGACCCGAACCGGTGGCCCGGTCAGTGACCGGTCCGGGTAGGCCCGACCCGAGGGGATTCCGGTCCGGGCTCGGGTCACCCAAAACAAGGCCCGACTTGGTTCGGGCCAAATTGATTTTTTTTCATTAGTTTGGGCTCCAACCGGGTTGGGCTTGATGTTTAGGGGAGTTTGGGGGGTGGGGGGGGGGGGGCAGGGATAGGTAGGTAAGCAAAAAAAACTCTTATTTAAGGCATTCTAAGTAGTACTCCGTAGGTCTTATTTTTGGAAAACGAATATGTTTTGGTCGTATTTAGGTAAATCTCTAGAGGAAATTGCTCATCGTAGGACAATAATATAACATTCTTTTCTCCCAAAAATAGAACTATATGTTTAGTACTCCCTCCGTCACACTAGAAGGTTCCTGTTGACGGTTTACGATGATTGACTGACGATAAAGCAACTTAATTCCTGTTCACACTCTGATTATTTTAGTAAATAAAATTAACATATTCAAAAACTACATTAAAACTGCTACAAAGCGGCCTGATAAAAAAATGTAAATTTGATAAAATTTTGATTTATAAAGTAAAAGATTAAAAATGATTTAAGTTGCCCATGTGAATAGTGGACAGGAACCTTCTAATGGGACGGAGATAGTATTTTCTAAATAGGACTAAACATTACCTTTCTGCCTTAATTTAATTAGTTAACTAATCAATATAATTATATGGCATCTTAATTTCCTTGCCTAACAAAGGTCAGTCCTGTGGTGATTAGGGATAGAGTGGGTTCGAGTGACCTGATCCGAGACTGAACCGGAACCGGTACTGTTTGGATCGGCGTAAGACCGGTTTTTCACTACCGGTACCGGCCCGATATCCGGACCGACGTAGAAACGAGATGGGCTGGCGCTTGATTTATTTGGGACCGGATTGATAGGTCTCAGGGCCGATTCCGATCCCAATGGATATATTTTTATTTATTTTTAATTAGAGGGTGGGGATTGACCCGAGACAGGTACTGCTTGAATCCACACTGGAACTGGTAAAGGATCAAACCGGATCGGTACCGGGCTTCAATTATTTAGAACCGGGACCGGCCAGACCC